TTCGCGTTGAGGGCGTTCCGCAGGGCTTCGTCAGAAAGTGTTGCAAGACTTTCTTTCCAACCCAATACATTCCCTCTGCTTCCATGCAGCGACGACCATGTCTGATGTTTATAAAAGACTTTCTACCTGACCTGCTACATTTACACAGCTGCTAGATCGAGGTCGTGGGGGTGGTTGGCAACACCTCCAGGCTGTAGCAGTAGCCACTACCCAATTACCAATTACCAGGGAGGGGGAGTCTGATTTGCATTTTGACTATTTGACGAAACTCCACGCTCGTTGCCATGACCCATACGGCCTCCTTCCCCTATTGTTCTATTAATCCTCTCAAGAAGCATCCCCCTCCACTGTTGTTCCGCCTTTAACCTTTCAATGAAGTTGTCCTCACTCTCGCAAATGAAATTACTAATTGAAATATAAAAGGAAGCGCTAACACAGTTCATGAACGTAAACCCCTTTTTGCTCCCGAACATGACGTGCCGAATCGTGTGACAGGAATTGTGGCACCTTTTACAATCATTTGGGATCTTTCTGTCGTAGCAAATCACAGTTATGGGCATAGTGCCGCTTCAAAAACTTATCCAACGTTCCTCATATTATAAAATGTGATATGCTTTTTGGAAACACTTGGGCCCGATTTTGGGGCGTCAATCCCAAGGTTCTTCTGCTCACCCTTCAATCACCATTGCTACAGTCGCGGGAGAGAGACTCAGGCTGATTTCAAAACTGCAGTCCAGTCGCAGGTCCAGTTTGGATTTTACTTGCGATAGAAGTCGACAAGAGCACGGTGGAACTTCAGTCAGATCTAAGTCTGAACAGGAACTAGAACCGAACTGCAACAGAACTGCCGTATTGAAATCAGCCTTGGTATCCCTGAAAAGCAGTAAAATATGCATGGGTATAGTTAACTCTTCAATATCTTCACTAACAGCTTTTAATGAGCTCCCGCACTTGAATTAAATTCAATTTGCGGTGTTGTAGCGCTGATATTTGACCAAAGAGGACATGCGATAACAACTGAGATCAGCCCCCTTGTTAATAAACGTAAATATGAAGCGAAATAACAGAAGAGCATAAAGTAAAATATGCAAAAGCATTTAGAGAATATGTCCGAATCTCTACAATATCCGTTCGCAGGAGAAATAGTGCTGTGTACTGATTCAGAACAGGATACTATATCCTAGGTATAAGTGAATACAAAGAGGCCATGATGTGCCTTCTCAAGTAAGAAACATGCAAAATAAGAAAATCTCCCTTAACGACTCATGAGACATTCTTAGAATGCATCGCATGAAGAATATATTTTTTCCACGCACAAAATGAGAAGCAATGGTGGGAGAGGGGGGGTGCTTCAGGAACATCTAGTAGCTGAAAGGTTTGATAATTTCAGTCAATGGGGCACTAGACACACTGATTCAGCACGAATAGTTCAGTTTGTCTACTGAAAGTGGTAAACCACCTGGGGAAGTGCTTCATTTTGAAAATTCACGATGGAAACAACATATGAACTTGATGCTTTGAGCAGGAGGGAGAAATATGTTATTTTTCGTTCGGAACAGAAAAATTTTCATTTTCAACCGCGAGAATTCACCGATGTCAGTTAGGTTTTGTGAGCCATGATCCAACTCTTACTCTAATTAACTATGCTACGCTATATATGGTTTACCACACCACTGGCTGCATGTTTCGTCGCCACCGATTATACTAGGCTGACGGAAGTAGTTTCATGATGCCAAGACGTCCCTCATTAAACCAATTGTCTATTGCATATTTGCGCTCAGCGAGCAAGGTCTGCTTCCAGAGGGGGCCCTTTGAAAGACTTGCCCTTTGCTCCTGGCAAGCCATACGACTATAGTACACGTGGCGAGATGAAGGATTTCACGATTGAATAAAAGTTTTTTACGTACTGTTTGTTCTCTGGTTATGGAAGGTTCTGGACATGTCTTCAGTGAGCCCTCTCCAGATGTGTCCCCCTCTGCCCCTGTCCCATCTCCATTCTCCTCCTCCTCGCTAGCTTCTTCATTTATCTTCTAGAGAAGAGGATCACTCAATCTGAATTATGGACAACAGTGAAGAGGAAAGCTGATGCGATGCTGGCTCATTGCTTATGCAGGCCATATCCCATCTCTGTTAACAAACATGGTTGCCAGCATGCGCCGGGAGGAAACATGTACATATGTGTAGGATTTTATGCATAAAGTGACCCGTGATGACAGCTATAACGTTACTACGATATGGTGAAGCACAGATACGCTGTCGAGTGCATCACGAATCCCAGGGGCATTGTTGAGTTTTTCGGATCATCTTCAACCATTCGGAATTGAAAATGGGAGCTGGGAGTATGGGAAATGCCAAAAATCCTTCATGTAAAAAACGCGCAAACCGACTTAGAGCAAGACCTAAACTAAACTTGGATTCGTTACACTCTGGGAATGTACCTTAAAGCGAGAAGGGCCTCTCGTGCTGATCAAGCAAGCGCTAAAAAAAAACTCATTATTCAGAACGCAGACAAGTCTAGATAATGATTAAAAATTAATAATTGAATTTCGACAAATGTATTTCCCTCTTGATAACTGTTTTCCCATAGGGGGAATCGTCCTTAGCTCGTGGTGGCACCGACAAGCCATAGCCATAAAATCACTGAATTAGTGCAAGAAGTACGAAGAACTCTTAGAGTTAAAATATCCAATTTCGTTTCTTTTGGGAAAGACTACTTAATCAATTTCAACAAGGAGACTACTGATGGGTTTGTCTTGTCACTGGCTCACTGAAGAAAAGAAATTCCTATGGAGTACCTATCTGAACAAGTAAAATAGGTGTAGCATCATGGACAGCCAAGGGGTTTGGAACCACTGTTCTTCCCTATGACAAATGTGACACCAGCGTGTCATGGGGTGGCCACGTGTTAAAGCAAGTCTTTCGTATGCCATGGTGACAGAATACGCATGCACGCAAGCTGTCACGACTGTCTTTAGCTAAAGAAAACGTCAATAAACGAGAAAGCCAAAGTCCTTAGGGAAAAAATAGAGTATGGGTCGTCTTCTTGGATAGGGTGATCTACTTTCCTATGTAACATTTAATGTACCATTTCCATAGCTTGAAATAGCAGATGGACTCTATCCACAGATATTTTATCTATCCACAGATATTTTATCTCTCCACAGGTGATTCCTAGACACCAAAGTCTTCTCCTACTTTTAAGGGTGTGTACCCGCACGATTCCGATTCTGTTTTTCTTAAAGGGGTTTTGGCTTTCTGTTCCTTCATACAGGGTAGTGTTCCCTTTCCTTTCAACAAATCATGGTATAATGCCCGACACAGTCACCATAGATGCGATAAACTCATCGTCTTTCACTCAATGCCTCACCTTCCGTGAATATTAGATATTAAGTACTACTTGACTTTCAGTCCGAAGTCAGCTTCAGTCCCAGGTCAGTTCACTCGAGAGTGCGACAGTANTCTTCATCGCATTGTAGTACCTTTATTGCTGGCGTCTTGGGTCGCTACGCTTCAATGAATATCATATTTCTCCAAACGGCATAAGAAGGCGGTCAAGTTATTTTCTTCTATTGCATGACGTTACCATGTTTTGAGGTCCGGAGTCGACAATGCCGGTGGCATTAGAAGCAGCAGCCAAGGCTTTAGTTGAACTGTCGGTGGGCGCAGAATCGGGAGCAATCTGGTTTTTCGCGTCTGAGCTGGTTGTCGCATGTTCTTTGGGCTCCTCATGGTCTTTCGAGCTCTCTCCCTGAAACAAGGAATATCATATTTCTCCAAACGGCATAAGAAGGCGGCCAAGTTATTTTCTTCTATTGCATGACGTTACCATGTTTTGAGGTCCGGAGTCGACAATGCCGGTGGCATTAGAAGCAGCAGCCAAGGCTTTAGTTGAACTGTTGGTGGGCGCAGAATCGGGATCAATCTGGTTTTTCGCGTCTGAGCTGGTTGTCGCATGTTCTTTGGGCTCCTCATGGTCTTTCGGGCTCGCTCCCTGAAACAAGGGGATCCCATAAGAGATGGCACAAGTGACTAAATTTTCCATGACAAACCATACGGTAAAACAGAAAAAGGACGTAAGTTACTATATTTTGGATTGTAGCTATGGAGTAAAAGGGAGCTTACAGTCTTTCTGTTATAAGAAAAAAGCTTATCCATAGCTCTCCTGTAATAGTGAAAATTACAAGGATTAGGTGGGGTTTTAAGCAGGTCATGTTAGCAAATGGAGTGATATGATTGGTATCCTGTTTTGAAACTCATATTTAGCATGTAAAATGCTCTGTGTGTGTGTGTGTGCGCGCGCGCACGTGTATGTGTGTGTGTGGGGGGGGGGGCAAGGAAGAGGAAATCTACTGTATTATCATCATGATGTAATAACTACTCGTAGACCAGGTCAGAGGGTCAGTAACTTTGTCTCACAACTTCTTGCTAGCAAGATAAAGTTAATTTGGCGACCCTGAGGTCAATAAGGCAAAAAAAAAGCAGGAATTCATAGCGACGTGCACATAATATATAACAACCCTTCAAAACAGAATATGTTTAAGGCATGCAACTTTTTTGAGGAGCTGAGGCCGATGGCTATGAGCTATTGCGGAGAAGGTATCGATGTACCTAGTATTCAGGGCAGGTCAAAAAAAGACAAACGAGTTTGAGTTGCTATGTCTCAGGAATTCTTTTACTAAATCACAATAAATATTTTGAATGGAATTTAGCTTGCCTTCTTTTTCCTTTTTTAAAATTAGGTCAAATTCCGAAAGTTCATAATAGTATTCTGCAGAAAATTGAAAATGTGAAATAGACAACTCCTCTGAGAAAAGTTCGCGGCAACACTGCAATGGGATTGCGTATATGCAGTGGTGCTTGAAATGTTGCAGCATCCACTAAAGTTAGTGTGATCCTGTGTTCGGTCATTTTGTGTCGTGTCAAATATTATTTATTCGAGAGATTTAATTTTTAAAACTTGCTTAGTCTTATACTGGCTGCTTTCAATACAAAAATAAATAAGTTTAAAGCATTCTGTAATCATTTTTGAAGCACAAGAACTTCTGTCTACTTCAAACATTAGACTTATTGGAGAATATCGGTTATAATTTCGATTTAAATTTATGGATTTTAACAAGTGAAAAAAGGCAAGTTCTCACCAAATTTGGTGAAAATTGATAAATTAGTCCTGAGAAGAAGCAGCTCATAGTCGGTGATCATTTTGTCGTACCCAGAATACAACAGTGCCATAAATAACATTTTAGGATGTCATTTATGCAGTGCACACATCTGATTCTGTGTACTTTACAGGGGGTCCTCTAACGGTACAAAGGATTATGCCTCCAGAACAGCATTAAAGGGTGTGGACAGTTGCTCCAACTACTCCTCTCGTGTTGTAACATGCAAATTTATGAGAGCTACACAGTAAAGGCGCGTTTTCTACGATTAGAGTGACTCCGCATGAAGCCTCTGATATCCTGGGAAGTAAGCTTAGCATTATTCCCATCTCTGTCGTATTGGGCATGGTGAGTGCCACTGGATGTCGGTTAAGAGTGTTGGGAAGTAGGAGAGGGCGTCCTTCCCTTCCTTATTCCTTCCTACCTTTTTGGAGATAGAAGGCCGGGATTGAGGAGTCGGTTTGACTTGAACGTGCACTTCCTGCAAAAACATAAATCTACATCAGGCATTTCTTCCCATGATGTCCCAAGATACTCAATTAGAACCAACATTCACCTCTCCCTGGGGCTGGGAATGATATGCCAAGGATGAAATTAGATTTATCTACATGTCTTTGGACTGAAAGTCACCTAGATGCAGCTCGTGAAAACGTCAGTCACTTAATCGAATTACTTTCCATCACCGACTTTTTTTTTCAAGGAATTTTGAATTTGATTTGACTTCGAGAGAAGAATTCAGGAAGCTCTTTTCATGTCTCCTCAGCAATGAGGGGCTGGACCAAGACAATAAAGGAATTTATTAGGGTGCGCCAAATTTCGGAAGAAGGGGATGTGCCACATGGTGAGAATAAGGCTTCATGGATGGGTCGCGCCCAGCTACCAGAAGAACTCCTCGTCTTCAGAGGCAATTATGGTCTGAGAGCTATCCTAGGTTCAACAGCACGCAGTCATATGAAGGGTATAGGGTGAGAATGAAGATTAGCAAAACACATACACCACGTTTCTTTCGATGCCAGTGCCTTTCTGCTTCCGTGGTTTCTTAGCGTCTTAAAATACAAAACATTAGACACAAGGTTTGGGCTTTACCCCTGTGTCGTGACGAAAGCCACGAAAAAAACCACGCCAGCTGAATGTGCTTTCATGCAAGGTGGCCAAGGTTTAATATAGTTCCTAAATGTTCTTAGTTTAATGGGACCTTCAATAGATGGGAAGGGAGAAGAGGGTTGGAGTCAGAACCGGTGTGTCTTTTTCTTGATTCATTCGACAGTGTGACCTTGCGGTTGAAAATTAATGGAACTAATAATTATATCATGGGAATAGTTATATGCCACGAATTTTCCTTCGACGAATTACTCGCTAAAAATTTTTTCAGAGACAGAAAAGTCGCAGACTCTCGTAAAAATAAGAACAGGGATTCCCAAGTTCACGGGGAAGTAGTCTTGCCTCTTGTTCAGGACCCTTGTCCTTCCCAGGAGGAGGAGGCCGTCCGGGCGGAACTTTGGCGGTATTGCTCTCCCCTACCTGCGCAAAAGAAATGTCCCAGTGCCCAATTACAGTCAGTTTCCGCCAAGAAGAGTACGAGTATGACCACTTACCACAGACTGCTGGTGTGAAGGATGATTCTTAGAAGCTGGCGTTGGTAGAGGCGGTGCAGGCTGGAACTCAAAGGATTATATACCTGATCAATTTAAGTTGATGAAATACCTTAAGTTGATGAAATACCAAAGAAGTTTGAACACACTCTATTTTTGCCATGATTTTTAATGGATTTGGTCTCCTCTTTCCTCGGTGATGCATCAACATAGTTCTGCAACGAAAGCACATCGAATAGAAAACTCTATACCTACAGTACACCTCCGTAAACGTACGTAAACGAAAGGAAAAAACAAGACTTAAAATGTGAGAATTCCGATATTTAAAAATCACTCATGAAGACCATTAACCGAATGCAAACAGAGGAACTCATTTTCCTTTGAGCCAACTGCGTCTTGAAGCGGGATTTGTTATATATTCCACTCGTTCCAATCACTAAATTAAGTTTTTTGAGGGAAATCAGGTGTTCCTTACATGTGCGTCCTGGTCTCCATGTGTCGGTGTGAAAGGCGTTTGAAGTGGCTGTTTGGCTGGACCTGGTTGAGGATGCTTGCGTGATGGATCTGGATTATTTATTTTCATTGAAACTTGACGGTTTCCATTCTTGAAGTGGGAATTTTTTCCCTATGACGAAAGTGCCATCAAGTGAGGTAAACAAATGGTAACAGAACAGATTTAGATTTGCGAATTATTATTGCTGGGAGCGCTTACTCGCGACCTAATGAATTTTTTTGCTTGTGCTTATTGGCAGAAATTTCCTGGGCAGCAAAAATATTAATTTTACTTCGGGGAACACTGACTTTCAATTATGTTCCAAGTAAAATCTGTTTTAAGTCATCCCACGGTTCCATGCCCTTCAAGTATCACTTTAGGTACCAAGTATGATGAAAAAAAAATTGGGAAAGCATAATGATACGAAGTAAAAACGCATGATACGTGAACATAAATTGCAGAAAAGTATAACAACCAGAGCAAAAACCGAGGAAAACGGCTACGATAACGACTCACCATAATTTTCTTGACCCCCTTGTACAGCCATCCCACGAAAGTTTCGCTCTAGACGGAGAAATGAACGAATCCAGTGTAAGGCAAGAAGAGTTTAAGATAATTTGACGCTGTCGTTCGTACCTTCTGAGAGACGGTAGACGCTCCGCCGGGATTGAGATGGCTGTTTTCTGGATTTTGCTCCTGGACTGAGAAGGCTGGATCTTTGAGCACAATTTCCTTGATCTTCAGCAGCAGGCCAAGCCGCTCTTTGTAGCCTCCCCGTCGATCGATGTTCTCAGAGTCGATGAGGGTATCAATGAATCCATCGATGGTCATCCGGTGAGGCTGCATCGCGATCTCTTCCAATTCCTTCCTGTTCTCGATTACTTTTTTTATCCATTCTGTCATCTGCTTTCTAGAATCGTGCTCTGCTTTCACCGCCTTTCCTACTTTCTCCAGCTCTAAGCCAGGCAAAGGCTATGAGTATTCTAGGATTGGAATTCCTTGAAAAAACAATTGAGAATCTTACCGTCGACAATGTTCTTCTCGAGGGACTTAATCTCATTCTCCAATTCCATCACTTTCCTCGTCATTTTCAGCTCCACGGGTTCCCTCTTTTCCAGGTCTTCAAAAAAGCGCATAAAACTACCCTCGCTCAGGTCCCAGTAAGCCATCATGACGGATTTCTTTTGGGGAATCTCGCACGACAGGAACGTGGAATTGTTGAATCTGTAGTCCCAATTACAAGGTATCGAGGCTGCCTTCACGGCTTTCAAGACTGGCGGATCCTGAAGATCCGCAAAAGTGACAAGAATGACGAGGTTTTTCGTCACGTCCTTCCCGAACATAGACGTGACGGAATTGAAGACGTATCTCTCGCCCGGAGTCAACCTGGCATTCGGCGATTGAACGACGACGCACAGGGCATCCAAACGGTTCAGGATCTGGAATCGCTCCGTATCGAAGAGTTTTCGGATCTGTTGGGTGATGACTTGATTCGCCTGAAGTCCCGAGGTATCTCCGAATCCGGGGCTATCCACGATCGTGACAGGAAAACTTAGGCGTTTCGGATTGTGGAAAGTGTAAGCTGTTGCCCATTTCGTCTGACTGGATTCTAGGCCGTCCCCGCTCACCTCTTTCTTCATATCAATCTCAAAACGAACAGGGCTGTTGGACTCGACACCCATCAGATAATTCGCAAACACGTTCACCATAGTACTTTTTCCTGCAATCCATCAAAGTCGAAGGATTAATGAGGTACATAATTGGGGAATGGGGTGAAATGTACATTTGAACTTACCTGCTCCGGTACCTCCGACCAGAAGTATGACTTTGGTTTCCAGGAATTTCTCCTTTGGACCTTCGTCAATGTCATACCAAGCGATCATTTCCTTCTCATTATGGAAGAATGGCACCATTTCCTCAATGGTTTTGATTTGAACCTTCTGTTCTGTCCTTCCTGTATTATCAGACATGATCGGGACTCACTTTGCAGGCTGGAAGAGAGGACGGTAAGGGAATGCATCAAACAGCGGCAGCCATCATGAATGGTAAAGCATATCTAATCTACCTAACGTTGGAATTTTCCCCTGACACGATCTGGAGCCGTGCAACGAGATAAAGAGACAGGTACAATGCTCGAGCGTTATCAATCCTGTAAGACCAGAATTTCACTGACTGTCTTATACAGTCTTACTCTAGGTGCTATAAAATTCTCTCTCTATCCCCTTGTGATTCTCGACTGCGATGGAATACATGGTGGCCTACGGTCGGAGGAGGCGGATCATTCGGGTCTCCTCGAATTTGGAGCTGATGGAGGCCATTGAGAAAGAATTTCCGGATTTGAGCACGGAGGAGTTCTGGATCGAATACTATAACGAGTCCTTCCAGGATTGGGTAGACCTGACAGAAGACGTAGTTCTTTCCAAGCAAGCCAGACTTCGGGTCCAGACTGTTGGGCCCGAGGTTGTAGAACCCACCTCGCCTGGACCTTCAGGTAGAAATTCTCCTGCTCCGGTCCCTAAGCGGTTATCATCTGACTGTAAACCGGTCTCCGGTACATTGGTGGAACCTCTCCAGTCAGCTGACTGCTATGCTACTGCTGCTGGTAGCCCCGGTAAGTCTCAATCTGGGTCGGATTCCGATGGCTCTTCCTCGGAAGCATCTGCAGCTGGTTCCAGGAATGGTTCTTCTTTGCGGAGTACCCCTCCTCCTAATGCAATGAGTCCGAAAACAGAAACGGAAAGTCAGACAGAGAACGAATCGGAATTCTCCGAGGATTACTCGAGTGAGGAAGACAAGAGTATATACAAGTTTCTACTGATGGTAAACGGAAAAAGGAAGCGAGTGGAATTCCAGCAACTACGTGACCTCCTGGAAATGTTGGAGGAGGACTACCCGGGGGTGAATCCCGATGAGATAGTCTTCGAAATCGAGTCTATGGGAAACCCAGCGAAGTTCACGATGATACCCCTGCGTCTCCTTCCAAAAAGAGGTAATCTCAGGATAACCATTCCCGTGAGAGACTATCCTGATTCCATTCCTTCTTCCAAGACAAGCATTCATAAGAGAGACTCTTTTGATTACGATTCTCCTGACACCGATGAGCTCCCGATTCAGCCAGAATTCAGCAAAATTACTATGTGAGTTGAAACGTTTCCTGATGTGTAATTCTTAGGAGTGAAATACTTTTGAGCAGAGACAGAACTTTCTTGATATAATTATATATAGAGATAAACCTCATAAGACAACCCGGCTCCCCGTGAAACTGAAGGAAATGTCACCCCTGTTGAAGAAAGCTGCCAAGGACATCTACGAGTTGAAAACTCTTCCAATCTACATAGACAACGAGAATCATTTGGCCAAATACGAGGTGGCTTGCCCAAGGGATACAACGCTGAACGCTAACAGGAACATGTCTCTCCTCCTAGTCGGAGGAACAGGATCTGGTAAGGAACGATTCGCATGGTACTGACAATCCTTCGGTGCGATGAATTCTGATGGGAATGCGATGGTTTTCAGGGAAGTCCACGATGATAAATGCTATCGCCAACTTCGTGTTGGGGGTGGAATGGGAGGACGAGTTCCGGTTCAAGATCAAGACGGAGAAAGGACAGAAAAAGAGATCCTCGCAATACAGTCAAACGAAATGGATCAACTCTTACATCTTTCAATGGCAGGAAGGTTTCCGGATCCCATACTCTCTCACTGTCATCGATACTCCGGGCTTTGGTGACACTGACGGTACGTACATATGGCAACAAATTTCACTTAGATTCTTGTAATATGATTTTAAAAAAGCGCAAATTGGTTGAAGCGTCCGTTTATATGGATAGCTCAGGCAATCATTTGCAGAGGAACCTCACAGGTGTCGCATTGACCTGCAATGATTGCACCCAATGTATTACACCTGATGGTTTCAGTGAGACCAAGAACTGACTTGAGCACTATTAACCACTACACGCCTGGTCTTAGCTGCACTAAGCTCATATAATAAAGAAAATGCCTCATTTACATGCACGAAGTTAAGTG